CTGGCATAGAAGAGTTTTAACTCCTAAAATTCAGTAATTCAATATCTTGGATGGTTTTAGGACTACTTAGGTTTTAAAATTTCCTTTTGGGTAAGTTTTGGTAAATTATGCCTTATGAATAATTGATGTTATCTAAGTTTTAAAATTTATTATTCTAAAATTGTTCATAATATTTCCTATTATGACTTTAATTTTAATAGCAACTACAGTTAGGTCCCTATTTTCTTTTTAAGATTGCTCAATTGTACGTTTTCTTGTTACTTGAATAGTTTTGCCAGAATTTTGTCTATTTTAATTGTTTCTTTAAAGAACCAACTTTTGGCATTCTTAATCTTGCTCATTGTGTCTTTTCTTTGATTAATGTTTATCATTTCCTTCTGTCTATTTTCCTTGGATTCAGTCTGCTTTTCAACCCTTTAGAGTTCAATACTAAGTTCATTGATTTTTAAACTTCTATTCTATTGTGATTTTTTTTTTTTTGGTACCAGGATTGAACCTAGGGGTGCTTAACCTCTGAGCAGTATCCCCAGCCCTTTTTATGTTTATTTTTATTTTGAGACAGGGTCTCACTAAGTTGCTGAGGCTGGCTTTGAACTTGAGCTACTGGGATTACTGATGTGCACCAATATGACCAGCTCTATTGTGATTTTTTGAGGCTATATATTTTTCTTGGAGTACCACTTTAAGCTACATTTCATAATGCAAAGTTTCCTTCTTTCTCCCTTTTACCTCCCTCCCTCCCTCCTTCCTTCTTTCCTTCCTTCCTTCCTTCCTTCCTTCCTTCCTTCCTTCCTTCCTTCCTTCCTTCCTTCCCCTCTCTCTTTCAGAGCTGGGGATTGAACCTTGGGCCTTGAACATGTGAGGCAAATATTCTACCCCTGAGTTATAGGCTCAGGCCCTCATGATACAAGTTTCTGATTCATAGTATTTTTGTTATCTCTCTCTTCCAAGTTTCCAATTTTAATTAAGCTTTTGCTAACTATTCCATCTTACATCTTAGCTCTTTTGTCTTGGGGTCATTTTCCTTCTGCTTAGAGGACATACTTTGAAATTTTATTTAGTGAAGATATACTGAAAAACATTTAGTTTTTGCTGTCTGGAAATGTTTTTACTTTGCCTTTGTTCTTTTAACAGTTTTTATGAGATACAATTATAGGTCATATAACTCAAGAATCCAAAGCATACAAATCAACCTTAGCTAATATAATTGTAATACATTTAGTATTTTTATCACCTCCAAACCAAAAACCTATTAGAAATCACTCTTCATCTTCTTCCACATCCCCAGCTCCGGGTAACCACATCTGCTTTCTGTCTCTACATAGTTGCCTATTTTGAACATTTTTAAAATTCTGAACCCTTTTAAAACATGGAATCATACATCATGTATGATTGTGATGACTTTTGTGATGACTCTTTAAACATGTTTTCAAGGTTCATCCACATTGGAAGATATATTTGTATTTCATTCCTTTTCATTGCTGAACACTATCTGACTGTGTGGATATAACATGCTTATATCTTCATTGGTTGAGAGATATTGGGCTATTTTCCCCTTTTGGTCATTAAGAGTAATACTGCTGTGAATGTTCATATGTAAGATTCTGTGTGAACATGGTTTTCCTTTCTTTGAGTATATATCTAGGAGTAAAATTTGGAATTGTTGTGTTTAACCTTTTGAGGAATTGCCAGACTGTTTTCCAAAGTGGCTGCACTGTTTTACACTCTCACCACAGCCTATGAGGGTTCCAATGTGTCCACATCCAAAGCCACACCGTGTATTACCTTTTTGATTACAACCATCCTAATGGATGTTTTCATTTGTTTGATAGCTATTGATATTGAATATTTTTTTCATGGGCTTATTAGATATTTGTATAACTTCTTTGGAGAAATGTATTTGCCAATCCTTTGCCCATTTGAAAACTGAGTTATTTGTCTTTTTATTGTTAAGGGTAAAAGTTCTTTACATAGTTTAGACAGCAGTTCTTTATCAGACAAATAATTTGTAAACAGTTTCTCCCATTTTGTGGGTTATCTTTTCACATTTTTAATGGTTTTTTTTTTGAAGCACAAAAAGCTTTAAATTTTGATGATGTTTAATTTACCCATTTTTATTTTATTCATGTTGTATCAAAGAAGACATTGCTCAAATCAAGGGACAAAGATTTATTCTCATATTCCTTCTAAGAGTTTTACAGTTTTAGCTCCTATGTTTAAGTTTTTGATCTGTTTTGAGTTCATTTTTATGTATGTGTGAAAAAAAATCAGATTTCCCTTTTCTGTACCATTTTTTTTTGAAAAAAACTAGTCTTTCCCTGTGAATTATCTTGGCAACTTTGCTGAAAATTAACTAATTATAAATGTAAAGGTTTATATCTGAACTCTTGGTTCAATTCAATTGATTTATGTCTATCCTTATGCTACTACCACACTGTATGGTTTACTGGAATCTTATAGCAAGTTTTGAAAGTGAGAAGTATGGGTTCTCAAATTTTGTTTTGCTTGGTTATTCTATGTCCTTTGAAATTCCATAGGAATTTTTAGGAACCTTCTGTCAATTTCTGCAAAGAAGTCTTTTGATAGAGATTACATTTGCTATGGACTGAATTATGCCAATCCCAAGACTCAAATGCTGGAGTCCTAACGTCCAATGTGATTATGTTTGGAGATGTAGACTTTGTGATAATTGGGTTCAAATGAGGGTTTGTACCCTTACAACCAGAGAGCTGTCTGTCTGTCTTCTTCTCTCTTTGCCAGGCAAAGATAGCAAGATGGTGGTCATCTGCAAGTCAGGAAGAGTATTCACCAGAACCCAACCATAATGTCACCCTAATCTTGGACTTCCCAGTTTATAGAAATGTGAGAAGATGGGCTGGGTTGGAGAAAGAAAATGAATTTCTGTTGTTTAAGCCATGCTGTTGTCTATAGTATTTTGTTATGAGCTGTGACAGCATTAAGTCTATAGATCCCCTTGAAGAGAATAGCTATCTTAACAATATTAAATCTTCTGATTCATGAACATGGGATGACTATCCACTTGTTTAGGATTTCTTTAATTTTTTTTATAGTTGTTATAGTGTAAGTTTTGCACCTATTTTGTTAAATTTGTTTCTGTGTTTTTATTTTTTTAAAATCTTTCCATGTTTATTTCTTAAATTAATTAATTACTTAATTATTTTTAGCAGTCATATTAATTCAGAATTTTATTTTCAGGAATTTGAATATCTTGCATCATTTATACCTTAAAATAGTATGGTATTGTAAATCAAAATTTTTTTCTCAATTTTATTTTCAGATTGTTCATTGCCAGTGCATAGAAATAACAATTAATGTTGGTATGTTGATCTTGTGTCTGGAAATCTTGATGAATTTGTCTATTAGTTCTAATAGTTCCTTAGTGTATTCCTTAGGATTTGTTATATACAAGATCATGTCATGCTTTCATTTTTTATTTGGATGCTTTTTACTTCATTTTCTTATCTAATTAACCTAGCACGAAACTTCAGTGTACTGTTAACTAGGGTGGTGAGATCAGACATCCTTGTCCTGTTCTTGATCTTAAAGGGAAACACATTCAGTCTTTCACCATTAAGAATAATATTTATCTGTGTCTTTGCCTTTGTTCTAGAAAGATAGTTTTGCTGAATACATAATCCTACTTTGACAGTTTTTTTCAGATTATTAAATATATTATTCCACCATTTTTTGTTTCCTTGTTGCTATTAAAAGTTAGCTGTCAGCTTATTTACCATTCATATGCAGATGATCTGTCTTTTATCTCTGTCTACCTTTAAGATTATCTCTTTGTTTTTGATGATCTGAGGTTTCTCTCTGATGTGTAGGTGTGTTTCTTTATATTTTCCTGAAAGTTTTTATCATATAGTTCTAATATAATGGTAGAAAATTTCAATAAACCAAGTCTTCAAGGTTCTGGTTCTCTCATTGTTTCTCCTGGTTCACTCTCCATTATGATTTGTATGTTTTTAACTGAGTTACTCATTTTCCTAATAACATTATCTAGGGGAACATTTTAGGAGCCTGGAGTAAAATTGAGTCTCTTCCCAAAGGATTATTATTTGCTTCTGCCATTTGCCAACCATGTGACTTTCTTTTAAATTCTCCACTTTATTTAAAAAAAATTTCCACCAAATGCACAGCATGAAGATCATCCATGAATCATGTAGTGGAGAAAGAGTTTTGTACACGTTTTAGCCCCCTCTATCCTGTGCCAAAATTGGGTCAGGCAAGTTTATTTTCTGTCTTCTTCTCCAGAGCCAATTTATTTCTCACCCAGCAGACACTAAGAGATTTCTGTGGGGAAGTCTCAGATTTACACTGAGGTCTCCTATTATATTCCCATTTGTCCAGGCTCTAGGATTCTCTTTATCTCCATGATCCATTTAGACATGAAGGTCAAAGCTCAAGGTCCCCAGGTTTCAACAAAACCCATCAGCATGAAACCTTGAACTGGTAGTCACATCAGGATTCCTCCTCTTTTTCTTTTATTTTATTTTTAACCTCTGCAGATTCCTTTCTTTCATGCCTGTACAGAATCACATGTTAAAAGAGTAGTAAAAGAAATACATATAATTTTAGAATTTCTAAATGAGGAGGCTGTTTAAGGTAACTCATCTCCTTACTGGTTACTGTTGGAAATTAAATTTCTGTCATTTGTTTTTCCTCTAAACAAGCTGACATGGAAAATATTCAGAAAAAATGATGTTCATCCTCCACCCATAAAATCTCCATGGAAAGAGATTCTACAACTTCCTTGTGGTAAATTCTCACAATGGCCAAATTATTCCCTTCTCTGCATTCACATTCTTGAAATCTGATGCTGCAGATCCTCCCACAAAAGGCAAAGTCTCTTTCTCCATGATCTTGAATCTGGGTTGGCCATTTGACTTGTTTGGCCAAAGGCAGGACATTAACAGTGTGACATAGGCTAAGGCTTGAAAGGTCTGACCTACTAAGCCCACTCTCTTGTTGCACTTTAGAGCTCTGAGATCACTGTAAGAATGAGTCCAAGCCAGCCTCCTCAAGGATGAGAAGCCACATGGAAGCACAAGTCCACTGTGCTTCAGTAACAGGTAAGTAATAGCACTCTCTTAGATTATAATTGGAGAGTCACATCCCATACCTCCTTGTAACAATCTTACTTTGTCCTGCCTTAACTTCTGAGGATGTAAAAGTAGTCCTTTGCCAAGATACTACTAAAGTTCAATTTGGACTAAAGGAGTTTACCAATTATTGGCATAAAATTTAAATCACACCAATTGAAATATATCCCATTCAAGCCTCTGTAAATAAATTAGGGAATATAAATGTGTAATTTATTTTCTCAGTGTAGTGGCCAATTAGATCATGACTAAAGAAGTCCAGGATTTTTCTCCATGACGAGGGAAGTCAATCTCAGATCTATGAGATTTTGATTTCCAACAGTAACCAGTAAGGAGATGGGTTACCTTAAATAGCCTCCTCATTTAGAAATTTAAAAAATTATAAGTATTTCTTTTACTACTAATATGAAGCAGTTACTGATATGAAAAGATACTGGGGGCTTTCATGATAAATTCAACATAAGTCAATTGTGTGAAGTGGCTCCTCATATCAGTCACATTAACAGAAATGTAGTCTCATGTGACCATTTCAGATGAGGCCTGATTCGAGGACCTGCAATATATATAGTTCAACACAGGAAGAGCTGGCTACAAATATCTGAAAGGGCAGTCACTGGGAAAATGAAACACAAAGTGTTCTTCAAATTTTACGAGGACAAACCTAGGATCAGCAGGTATGAGTTACAGGTTTCAGCCAAACATTTTCTTTTCTTTTTTAAAAAAAATCAATCAATTAATTAATTGTATGTGACAGCAGAATGCATTGCAATTCTTATTACACATATAGAGCACAATTTTTCATGTCTCTGGTTGTATACAAAGTATATTCACACCAATTTGTGACTTCATACATGTACTTTGGATAATAATGATCATCTCACATTTCACCATCATTTATAATCCCATGCCCCTTCCCTTCCCCTCCAACCCCTCTGCCCTGTCTAGAGTTTGTCGATTTCTCCCATGTTCCCTCCCCCTATCCTAATATGAATCAACCTCCTTATATCAAAAAAAAACATTCAGCATTTGTTTTTTTGGGATTGGCTAACTTCACTTAGCATTATCTTCTCTAATTCCATCTATTTACCTGCAAATGTCATTTTATTCTCTTTTATTGCTGAGTAATATTCCATTGTGTGTATATGCCACATTTTTTTATTCATTCATCTATTGAAGGGCATCTAGGTTGGTTCTACAGTTTAGCTATTGTGAATTGTGCTGCTATAAGAGACAAACCCACAAAATTACAATTATCTTATATTAGACAAAGGTTCCAAACACATGCATTGGAGAAAGATAGCCTCTTTAACAAATGGTGCTGAGAAAACTGGAAATCCATGTGCCACAAAATGAAATTAAACCCCTCTCTCTCACCATGCACAAAACTCAACTCAAAATGGATTAAGGATTTAGGAATACAACCGGAGACCCTGCAATTAATAGAAAAAAAAAGTAGGCCCTAATCTCCATCATGTGGGATTGGGCCCCAACTTCCTTAATAAGACTCCTGTGACGCAAGAATTAAAACCAAACATTTTCTAAACCCCAAATAATCCACGATAAGAATGGCTGGTCTGTGTGCAGGGAGGCCTGGATATGGAGAACAAGAAATGCGGGCAGGAGAGACATTTGTCAGGGACACTGCGGAAGGGCATATTGCCCCTTGGGTCAGAGGACTCCTCTTCCTCTTTCAGCTGAGCCCCTTTGCCTTTTCTGCTTCCATTACCCTTCTTTAGGAACTCTTAAGGAGGCTGAGTCTAGGGTTCTATAATTAGCCATGGATCAGCTGTGCCAATTAGAGCTAACTCAGCATCCTCCTGCTTCCAAATTACAAACCTGACTAAAGTCAAGATGAATCTTCTCCCTTGTTAAACTGACTCTTTAAGGACGGTCATGTTGTCACATAACAGGAGCCCATCGGATCCAGACTGATTGTAGCCAAGATAGCTTCCACTATCATTTGCTCTCAAGCTGACTTACAGGCAGGCACAAGCCAGGCACCTTTTTAGGTGTGTAAGTTAAGCTTGCAGATGGCCTTTCTCCTGGACGGACACCACTCCTCCAAGGTCACCAGGTTGCCTGGCTCTCCACCCAGCACTGCCCTCACTCTTACCTGCTTCACTCCACACTGTCTGAGGGAGCATTCTCATGAGAACAGGCTGAGAGAAAGTCTCTTCAGGCCTTTATAGATCCCAACTGCCTGCATTTGTTCTTCCTGTCTCTGGGGCACGTTCTGGCAGAGAGCATGACCAGGAGTCTGAGCAGGGAGCTGGGAAATGGGGCCTCCTACCTTGACAGGTGAAGCATCGGATGTGGAAGTGGTTGTTGTGGACCCGAACAACTTCTCCTTTGCAGGTGTCTCCGCATCGGTAGCACTGGATGACATTGGAGCCACCCCGGGGATTGTAAGGATTCTGCTGATAAGGAACTGTGGGAAGAAACGAGAGGTTAATTCTTCAAAAATAGAAACATGAAACTTCCATAAGACATTATCATAATTTAACTGGAAGAAAAAGCAGAAAGGGTAGACATGACTAGCTGTCCTCCACCCCAATCCATCATCCTGGCGAGCGTGCCAAGCTCAACAGCACTGAGTTGCACTAGGATGTGAGACCATAAACCTTCGTAAGTAGGCAAAGACTTAGGAGTGAGCATAACTTTTCCTTGCAGTAGAGGAAGCCAAATTCTGGAATAGAAAATAAACAAATAAATAAAAGGGAAACTAGAGTAGAGTCATGTGCTGTGTAACCATGTTGCAGTCAATGTCAGATAGACGATGCTGGTTTCAGGACATCAGAATGGAACTGAAAATTTCCTACTGCCTGATAGTGTTGTAGCTGTCGTAATATCCTAGTGCAATACGTTAGTCATGTATTTGTGGTGATGTTGGTGTAGCAAACCTGCTGCATTGCTAGTCCTACAAAAGTATAGCCCAATAGAATTACGTACAGTACCTATTACTTGATAATGATAACATATGAATGTGTTACTGGTTTATGTATTTGCTATCGCTATACTTTTTATTGCTGTATTATAGCTGTACATAATAAGAGGTTTCATTGTTACATATTTGTACATGCATATAACACAATTTGGTTAATTTCATACCCTAGTACTTCCTCTTTCCCTCCCCTCCTCTCTTTCCCCAATTCCATTTCTATTCTACTACTTTCCCTTCTATTTTCATGAGACACCTCTTTTTTTTCCCCTTTAGCTTCCACATATAAGAGAAAATATATGACTCTTGACTTTCTGAGTCTGGCTTATTTCACTTAAGATAACGCTTTCAAGTTCCATCCATTTTCCTGAAAATAATTTTGTTCTTTTTTTACAGCTGAATAAAACTCCATTGTATATTTATACCACATTTTCTTTATTCATTAACTTGTTGATGGACACAAATGTTAGTTCCATAATCTGGCTATTGTGAATTGTGTTGCTGTAAACATGGATGTGCATATATCACTATGGCATCATGACTTTAATTCTCTACGATCAATACCGAGGAGTGGGATAGTTGTGTCATATTATTCTATCCTTATTATTTTTAGAGTGAGATCCTTCTACTTAAAAAGAAAAAACTTTACTATAAAACAGTATGCTAGTAACAGTATAATACATCTTGTGTTTATCATGTTTCTTGATTATATCAAGAGGCCAGGCCAAGTGATTGGCCTACATCCTGATTTGTGAAGGTACATGCTATGAGGTTTGTGCAATCACAAAATCATCTAAAATGTATTTCTCAGAACCTATCCCCATGATTAAGTTATGGATAGTTGTATTTCAAAGTCAATCATCCAGTAACTCAATTTCTTGGGTGACCTCTGGATCAAAATTATATTCCAAACTTGTCAAGGGGAATTTGGGTCCTGAAAAATCACTCTTGAGTCTCAAAGAAATGGTGATGGCCCTGGCTCCATCTGGCCTTTGAGTTAATCAAGTTACAGCCCCTCTCTGGGCCTCAGTTTTCACGTGTATAAAATGAAGGTGGTTGGTCAATGGTAGCACAGAGTTTCTATACAGAAGGCCTGAAGGGAGGCAGCCTGGCTGGAAAGGGGCTGTTGAGGGGTTCATTTTAAAGCTGCCTTTGAACAGTACTTTCCACAATTTTAAGAAAATTTTCAATGTGTGCAACTGAGAAAAAAGGGTTGGTAGTAATTGTGAACAGGGCTGAAGCCACTGGGAACTGGACTGCTGTGGACAGAATTTGATGATGCTGAGAAGCTCCACTGAAATACTAAGTCTCTTGTTAACCTGCTCGTAGTTACGCTTAGACATCTCCTTTCCCTGAAATAGATGCTCAGCTTGACCATCTTAAATCTGTTTATCTGGCATTGAAGAATTAGAGTTACCTGCCTAGATCACAGAATCCCAGAGTTGGAAGAGATATTATAAGCTGTCTGGTCCAACTTCACTATGAATAAGCTGTAGAGATAATTTTGCCAGTGAGGAACCAAATCTCCTATAGGCATCTCCTAGTGGCCCAGGGTGAAGGTTCCTCAATTCACACTCAAAAACATTAATTTTGGATTAATTAGAACCCCTTTCTTGACAGTGTAGTAGTCATTTTGTTAACTAAAATTTAAATGTTTTCCTCCTGACACATGAAGAATTGCACGTGGAAACTTGCTGAATAATGAAATGTGAATGGAAATTGTGTGTGTCCCTTTTGGTTGGAAACCTTTGGAGCCAGTTATGATCTGCCATATTACCCTTTCCCTAACCCACCAACAAGAGACAGATGTCTCAGTTGACGTCCAGTAGGCATCAGCTTGGATCCCTGATGGAGGAGTCATGGAATAGAACTCCACACCAACCCAGGATAAACATCTATCATAAGAAATAACAAGTCTTTGTTTTCATAGCCTCCAAAACTTTTTGTTACTGCAGCACAACCTAAACTATCCCATCTCATCCATCTGGGATCTGATTCTTCTTTCTAAATAAACTTGATGTTATGTGTGTTCTTCTATAGTTATATTCATATTTTCAAAGAGGTCTATGGTCTCCATAACTGATTTCATCCATTTCCCTCTTTCATCCACATGTGGCAAGACCTCTCTCTCTGCAGATAGTAGCAATATGAAGTGTGGGGGTCAGGGAAGCTAGGCTGAGATTGGCCACATCTGCTTCTGTCCTGGAAGCCACCTTATTTCCAATAAGATTATATATTCTTGGCTAATTAGAAACAAAGAAATAGGACCTCTGGTTATCTCCTATGTATAAGGAGATATAAGAGCCCTGGTTGCTGAGCCCTGAAACTGGCTTCTGACAATTTTGCTAAGTAGGGTGGGAAAAAAATCCATTTCACAATCTTTCTCCTCCCTCTGCAGCTCTTTTTCCTTTCTTTCTTAAATTCAAGATAATAAAATAAAATAAACAAATCAAGTAGTTAACTAAATCATTAATTCTTTGGGTTTTATTTATGTATTTATTTATTGTGGTGTTAGGATGGAACCTAGGGCCTTATGCGTGCTAGGCAGTCACTCTACCACTGAGCTAAACCCCAGCCTTAATTAACTCTTCAAGTGGGTTAACGTGAAGAAGTGCATTATATATCCTGCAGATGTTCACTAGTATCACAACCATCACACCCTCCCCATGGCTCAGAGCAGTCCTTCCCCAACCCTAGCATGTCCATAAATATTCTATTTAGCCCAATCTTCT